GTTATGTAGGGCATCTAAGGATGAGGTAAATAACCCAAAAGTGTACTTTGGTTTATCCTAACCCCATTATTTGTTCACTCTTTCTAAAAGTGTGTCTTTTTCAGTTCCCGAATTGGGTACTGAAGAAACAACAAATTCCTTTGTTACAAATGGAAATGATAACCAGAGCAATAACTTGCTCCCTCTGTTATCTAGCTGGAGAGGAACAGTTAGGTTTACATACAGTTTTAACATGCCTGTCTTTTGGACTGTACTACAGAATTTTATCACAAAAATTTGTGCGTGTTTGTGTCTTCTCCTAATGCGTCATAGAAAATTTAAGACATGTAACTCTTGACTTCAAGGGTGTCTGTGGGTATGTTTATGCTGCGTCTTGATTCCAGAAGCACAGCGTGGAGCTCCTGGCAGGATAATTTGAAGTCAGCAGTAGGACAGGTTAGTCTTTGCAGATTGACTAAGTGCTGCCTAATACCAGGGGTGGTGGCAGAGTTGGTGGCGGAGAGGAGCTCTGCCCTAAGGAGTGCCGTGGCTAATGCCAGCTCCAGGCTCTCGGCACTCTTACTGTAAGGCAGAGCGATTCTCCTTTGTGAGGTGTGTTGGAGATCTGCTGGTAAGAAATGGGAGCACTTAAACATAATAATTGTAGTATAAATTTGTAATAAAAAATTTATTAGAATTCGTGAAAGACAGTGCAAATATCGTTGTGACTGGTTGCCATATCTGAGGTCCCTGTGGGAAAGTTCAAAGTTAGTTGACTCACTTTAGGAGCTGGAGCTTTATAGCATCTTTAATCCCAATTTAGGGATACAAAACCTGAGTGGCTTTTGGAGGAAGGGAGAATTTTAGGGAGGGACAGGCATTTGAGCTGAAAAAAAGCCCTTTGCTGCTGTAAGTACAAGCCTGTCCTTAGGCTTTGTTGCTTTGTTTAAAAATTGAGGCAAGCCTAGGAAGGGGATGAAAGCTCAGACAGTGCCCTATTGTGCATGCGGTGAGTGGGGAGAATGGCATGCAGATTCTGCCTCTTCTCATCTACGCTTCAGCAAGAGTCAGAGACACATATATATGTTGAGGGGAAAAAAGGATTCTTCTCTGGGAAAAAAAAGATAAGTGAAGTACTCATGGTAATTTCGATCGAGACTTTTGCAAGTCTCAAACGTTTGGTTCCTATACAAAGGCTGTGTATTTGAAGAGTTGTTGAGAATGTTAAATTGGCAGTGTTCCTTGGAAGAACATGATTTGTGTCATATAAAAGACCTAAAACCCTAATGAACCCCCTTCCAAGAGGCATGCCTTCATGTGTTGGAGGAAGGTATACGAAATGGAAAGTTCCATGCAGTGTTTGTGTATGAAAAGAACCTGAATGGTTTGGGGTTTGTTTTTGCTGCATGTGTAAAAGGAGCGCAAGGATATTGTTTTTATATCTTGTTTGAAGTCAAAGTGCTCCAGCAACTTTATCGCAACTTGTTGAAAAAGAGCAGTATAATACGAGTCCAGACTGGTGTAGGAACTGAAAGAATACTCACTTACGGTGAGACAAAATTCCCCTTTCACTAATGATTTAAGCACAACAGAGTACAAGTTCAGTCTGTGAGAAACGTTGGTGTGTTGGTTTTTTTTTTTTTTGGTCTGAAGCCATGACTTTCAAAAGAACTTGGTGAGAAGGTGTAAAGCATAATAACGCAGACTTCCTTGTTTATTTTTTTAAGTTATTTAGCCACTGACTGATTTACAAAGACCAGATCCTTCGCCAAAATTTAAATCAATCAGGAACAAATGAGTTCTAAAATTCAAGGCGCAGAACTTTTTTTATTTTCCCATCTGAATCAAGCAGTATCATTTATCATTAGTGCTGGCACTTATTTCAGTGTCCTGCAGTTGTTTTGGTGTGTCAGTGTACAACTCTGGTTTAAAAGAGCCTTGCTAAGTCCCTCCTTACCCTTGTTTTTCCTACTGTACCTCCATTTTCACATATAATTGTTCAGAACCGGTGACTTCTTTGTAAATAATTGGTGCTTTTAAAAAAAAAAACTTATAGTCCCTGATTATCCAACTCAAAACCCCCACATATCTATCAATTAATTCATTCAACTGTGAAAAGCTTTTCCTTTTTTGTTTGTATTTGATTTCTATTACAGGCAAAGTGACAGCACTCATGCCTTTAAGCAGCGATGAGCTGAATGTCTAACCTTGTATATTATGTTTCTAGTTATATAGAGGTAGAAGTTTTATTTGTGTGAAGTTGCATTAGTAGTTCTGTCCATGTGAAGAAGCATTGATGATGCTGTGACTTCTGTTTGATGTTCATATGGCACTTGTGTGGTTTTTACAAGATCCTTGGTAAACCAGTATTACTGAAAGCGTTGAGTGTTTTCAGTTTTAATGCATGTCAAAGCAAAGTTTCTCAGTTAAGATGTTCACTGCTTTGTCTTTCAGCGAGAAGAATCTGTGATGCTGACAGACGCTGAATAAATATGGTTTTGGTCACGACTCCTAAATAAGGAGCTGAGAAACTGAAATATAGGTCTGAATTGGTGCTGTTGCAGGCTTTCGTGTTGTGTCAGCTTTGCATGTATTATGAAATCTGTTCATAGTACATAAAAATGCACAAACTGTATTACTGAACTGCAGAAGCCCCACTGCTGATACATCAAAGAAAGCAGCAGCTGTCATCCAGTTTTAGCCACAGTGCTTTTGAATGCCTTAATCCTCTTCCCAAACAGAAGGAGGCAGAGAGAGCACACTTTCTTTATACACCCCCCCCTTCTATTTTTTTGAAGTGGTGGTGTAGCAAAATCCAGAAGCTGTGTTCAGCAGCCCTCACTGCATGGCACAAGACATTATTTTCTTTGCATCTAATTTGGACATTTCAGTCCTCCTCATCTATGCTATGCTCTTTCAAATTTAGTTTTTATTAAAGTTAGAAATTACTCACATTGTGTTTACTCCCAAGTGTTTGAAATATCAAAGCAATTATTCAATTGTACTTCATTTTCATTTAGGTCTACTTCAAATTGGAATTAACTTGGTATTCTTTGTTCCCTTTCAGTGGCTGAAGGGGTGTATGTTGAGATTGTACTCAGAATCTGAGTTACAGGAAACATACATGTCTACTAGTAGAATATATTTTGTTTTGTGAAAATTTTCACATTTTCAGATTTTTTTTAACAATGCAAGTTTTACAAGACACTCATTACAAAACAGCTTCTCTAAGAAGCAAGCTAGATATGCTGCAAATATTAACTTTGATCTGTTACAGCTATTTTTAAGGTCTATATGGTGCAGTGTCCTGTCTCCAAAGTAGGTCATGGCAGAAGTCTGGGGAAGGGTATGAGAACTGAGCAAGCATGCAGTGATGCTTCCCTGGTATACTTTGCTGTCTCACTAGCATTTCCCAAGTCAGAAGCTCTTCTTTGAACTAAAATTAAGACAATTTTTTCTTCATTAATTTGCCTAATCACTTTTCTTAACTGCATTTTAAGAATATTTTCCAAATACATATGAACACATTTGAGAGACTAGGTGGGCTTTATGTTTGCTTGTTTATTAGCACTGTCCTGCAAAGTGAATTTGCACTGCAAAGTAATCTCAACAGAGGAGTGAAGTATGCAAGTGTAAAGCTGTCAGACTACAGCTAGTTCATTAAATTGTCTGTCTAGGTAAATTAATAGGATATCATTTTAAGTCTTTGCTAACCTCCAGCCTCCCAGACCAAAAATACTTTGCTGTGCTGAAATAAGTAAGCTGGTAGAGTCAAATTTCATGTTTTAAGAATACATTTTTGTTGTCCTATTTACCCAAATAGAATTTCAAAAATCTGCATTAAAAAGTGTGTTGACCAGGATAGTACTGAAAGCCAGATGAGAGAAAATGCCATTTGATGACAAGGTTTGGTATGTTTAGAAATGCTCCTCTTATTAAAGTTGCTCTAGTGCCAACTACTCCTACACGGGAGTCTGCTCATTTGTGTGACATCCTAGCCATCACAACAGACAAGGAAGATCAGAGATTACATGCAATAACTCCAGTCCTACTTCCATTGTCAGACAAGGATCTCCCAGCAGTGACATTACCTTGTGGTGTACTCCTGCAAGCCCATTTTCCCTTCCCTCTCCATTAATACCCATTTCCAAACTCCTCAGTTTGAAATGCCATCTCTTTACATCTTTAAAATGCTAGAAGCTTCAATATTACTTGTAAGGAAAATAATTCATGCCAAGAAAGAAAATATGCATTTAGCATTTTGGGATGTTCGTGACTTTTTTTGCTAGCTTACATTGAGTAAGACATCGTCCGTTTGCTTTGCTCTTGACAGAGCACAAAAAAGCAGTCTCAAGTTCAATGAAAAATTGAGGTACTACCTCATTACTACGAAATCCAGTTGTTGGTAGTCTCAGTGGAATATGTGTGCCTCCACCGTCTGTGCAACAGACAAAGGAGTTCTTGTGGGCTGATGTCCCAGTGCTCAGTGAGTTAATATTGGGATGTCCACAGCTGTGTCCAGACACCTCTCAGGTCAATGAAGAGATGCAGAAACTGAAGGGCAGTTTCCAAGTGTCATTAATTTGTGGGAGGGGGGAGACCACTCATGTTAGTTTATTCTTTCTTTTAATTTCTTCCCACCTGCCCCCCCCCCAAAAGGTCATATGCATGTAATATAGTTTTACAAAGTCTAGAGCAATGTTATTTTGATGTTTGTCATATTAGAAGGAAAAAGGGAAAATAATCTAAAAAGGTCCTGCTTCGTTTTAAATTATGAATTTTTATTTAAAACTTTGAAATAAGAAAGCAGTAGGTATGTGGTATGACCTGCTCTTGCATGTTCTGTGCTGCATTACCGAAGTACTACTGTAGGTATTACAGTATTTTTCTGTTTAATTTTGATGTTTATTGCCCTCTCAGTGGCTAAGTTTGTTATACAATCACCAGAAAAGGGTGTTCCTAGACTGACCTATTCATTCATGTAAATGGCATTAATAAATATTTCTTTTTCACTTTTCTAGGTTATTGAATCACTAGGGATTATTATATATAAAGCCCTGGACTATGGTTTGAAGGACAATGAAGAGCGGGAATTAAGTCCTCCACTGGAGCAGCTTATTGACTACATGACTAATACCACAGAAACAGATGGGAGTAGAGATGAAGGATATGATGCTCTGGATGAAGGAGTGGAGGATGATGATGATGACAAAGCAGAAGTTGAGGCCATTCATTCCTATAAAGATGTCATGAAGGTACAGTAATGGGCAGCTTATATGATATTTCACTGTTTTTATCAATGAGAAAATCAACTTTATTTTCCGTGTTATTGTCCAGTGTGATACTGGCTGTATCATTTTCTGATTTCTCTGGTCATTCTGTAAGGCTTGCTTGCAAAAATGACATGCAGTAGTATTTCATGTTTGACAGTAAGCAGCAGAAAATCCATGATCAACTCTATCCTTGGATGTGCCATTAATATCACATTCTGATTTCATCCATGCACTGGATAGTCAGCCTTCCAGTGTAATGTCTGTTGAATTACTTTGTGTACACGTGGATACTTCACGGGCTGTTTGAATTAATTCACCTTTTCATTAGTGTGGTGTTAGTTTAATTATTCCTTATCAGTTTCTTCCTTTGCCATCCTTGTCTACTGAAGCAGAGGAGTACTTTTATAGCTTATTTGTATGGAGTGAGTCAGGATACAGTTATTTCATTGACAATCATTATGGTTGTGGTTCTTGACCTGAGTTGTGAGATTTGGAAATAGAGCTTATGTATTTTGATTGCAACAGATTCTTTAATGTTATCTGGGCTACCGTGAACAATAATTTAAAAGTATTAAGCCTCTATTTTCTATAGAGTAGTCTTCAGTACAAATTTTAGAGCCCAATGAGCTCTTAGTACAGGCAGAGTTATTAATAAGCATGGATTTTGACAAAATTTGTATAATTGGTTTACCTCATAAATAATCTGAGAGTTTAATACAGGTTGGAAAATTGTATGCTACCTTGTACCAGAGGATTGAACCCTGTATATTGCTTCTTCGTAAATGCAAGTCCTATCTAAGGACCAGAAGCTTAGTGTGTCACAGAAAATAAGAGTGTAGTGGTGGAAGCTGAGACTAGAAGAGTGTCCAGATAGCACATCAGGACACATTAGCATGCAGAAACAAGACCCCACTAAAACCTGCCACTTCTGATGAGTTGACAGCAAAGAGGGAAGCTCTTAGGAGACTGGAATGGGAGTTACTTTTGTTTGAGATGCTTTTGTATCCTCCTTGTATCAGAAATAATGCTAAATGCTTAATGCCTTTGTTTTTTCTCCCTCCCTCAGAGATGCAGGGGTCAGAGGGAGCAATGAATGAAATGGCTTTTTGCTCCCCCATGATGGGGAGTGCCTGGCTGGATGAAGTGCTCTCCCCTTCAAGCCCCTGCCACTCCCTCGCTGCAGGCAGGAGCGAAGGTTGCTTTGCTCTCTCTCCTCCCTGTCGCCCAGTCATCTTCCCTAGAAGTGGCCAGTAGCACCCTGCTAAGCCTCCGTGGGAGCTTCTCCAAGCCCAGCGCGGTGTTACATAGAGGATAGATGCAATATATTATCTTTTCCCCCAGTTTGGCAAAAATGCTGTGAATTGGTAGGACAATCAAAGTTGGATCGTTAAGAGGAAGTTTCGCTTAGTGCAGAGGCAAAAGAGACATTTGCATATGCAGAGCTGAGGGCAGTGTCTTGTAGAAGTGATTTCTTTGCAAGTTCTTTACTTGATTTCTGCAAACAAGAAAAGATAAGTTTGGAAAACATCTCTGAACTCCTTCAGTTACACTGGTACACATCCCTGAAATACAAAAAGGCTAAGAAAATGTTTGGTCAGATTTCACCCAAGATGGCACCTTTCTGGTTCTGCTTTGTTAATACGTATCTCTGCTAGTCTGAGGTACCTGCCTATTTATATGTTTTAAAATCAGCATCTTACATTTTAACTTTTATAATCTTTTTCTACTAATTTTTTATCATTCTGGAAATGTACCACTTTTGTGACTTCACCTTAGTGAACTGAAGTTCGGCTGTCATTTCTACATCATCCTAACTTTGACTCCTCCATCCCTTGGAATTCTCTTGTCTTGCTGTTTTTGCTTTTGCCTAAAATATTTGCTGCAGACTTAACTCTGCAACTCGCCTTTATTCCCTACTCTGTGTCATTACTGCATTGACAGTACTAGAATGGCAGCATTGTTCTGCCGCATTTTTGACAACCGGTGCAGATTTGTAAGATCCTTTTTTCTTGACTTCATACCTTTTCAGGGGTAAGACCATGTTTTGCATGTGGCTTTTTCTCCACCCCCACCCCAGTGGTAATCTATATTGCAGGCTACACCCTTATTTACCCAGTGACTGTTTCACAACAATAGTGTGACCATGAGGCTCGATTATTGTGATTCCCTCTCGGCGAGACTCAACTGTGAAGCTTTCTCCTCTGCAGTTTGTAGTGAATGCTAAAGCAGGTTTGTTCACTGAATTGAGCAACTGCTGTTCTTGCCTACCCTGCGTTCTTGAAATTGCAGGCTTGGAAAATGGTAGAGATGGGATGTGTGTACTTATATTGATTTTCAAGGTTTTAAACTATATAGTCTCCAGTATGGACATGATTTTGTCCTTGAAATGTGATTATATGTTTTGTCCTTCCCCACAAAGTATCATTGTGAGGTCCAAGGCCTGTCTACCACCAAGACTGAATTTTTCACCATTAATCACTAATGTGGGTGAACCTATTTTGTGATTAAAACACAGAGATAGACAAGATATGTGTCAGATTTTTCTGTAATGTAGAGTAGGCAAGGTCAATCCTGAACCCTCTCCTAACCTGGAAAATGCTGAGTAACATGGTGGACACCTTTTCCCAAGAATTGGGAAAAGGGTAAATGCTAAATAGTACTGCCAAGATCATCATTGGCAAAGCTCCTTTTTGGAGAAGACACAGACAAGCTTTTGTGCTGCTTCTTGGTATATTTGGCTTTTGATTTCCTTGGCAGGACCAACCTGCTGCACAGACTTGATCCACTGTTTTTAAAAATGCGTCTGTGAAGGGAGGAGACATTGGTTGCCAGACGCTTAACTTTTTTGGTCTTTGATGTATTTCGGATATGGCAGCCCTAGTGCAAATGATGGGAGAAATAGAGACAGTAAGGACTGCATGTTTTCAGACAGATGCTTTCCTTGTTTGGGGCTCTCTTCCTTGCCCGCCTGCACAGTACATGCACACCGTGCATCTACGGTACAGGAAATCTGTACATCTCGGGAATGCCAGGTTCCCTGCGCACATACACAAGGACAGAAGTGTACATATACAGTAATCCTGAGGGGTCAGGAACACAGTGGGTCTACAGTACGTGTATGGCTTGGGGAGCCTTGGGTCAACAGAGGATATAGACAGAGTAGGCCTGGCATGCTGGGCGGTGTTGGGCTTGCTAAGGGTGTGTGAAGCCCTGTCATGTGGCACCTTTATCATGGTGTGTGGCCCTCCCTGATACCAAAACGAGATCATGCAGTTTATCAACCTCTTCCAGGGTATGCTCAAACCCTAATTCCACTCCTAATCTTAACATTATCTAACTCCTTATCCCACAGATCTCCGCAGTCAGATGGTTTAAACCAGCACCACTTTTCATGTTAACCTGGAGGCGCTTTCTAAGCTGTAGTTTATCAATATCTGCTGGCCTGAGCCCCAACCCTAAACCCAATTCCAGTATTATCCTTTATTCTAGGCCAGCACCCTCTTCTAATTCCAGATGTAAATAAAGCCACATTACCCTTTGATAGCAGGTTTTAGTCTGTGCTGGTATTTGCTGGGCTGAACTGCCATGCTAGCCCTAGCTCTGTCATTTCTTCCAGCTTTCAATGTCATCGTAGCCAAATCGCTACTACCAGTACTAGACTTTACCTTAGCTCCTCTTCAGAGCAGAGGTGTTGCAGTAGTATCTGCAAGTCGTGACACTAACCTTTGTCACTGCCTCCGCTACCTTTTTCTGCAGGTCTCGTAGAAGATACATAAGGAGGCAGTGGTCTTCCTGAAGCAATATCTTGCTCTTACTTATGTTCACCTTTCATCCTGAAAGTTAACTCAACTTTAACAGGAACGCCATCTGTAGCTGAGCCACACCTTCTCATCTCAGAGACAAATATGGGTGGATGGCCCCCAGTGCTCAGTGGCCTCTGGTCCCAGGCCTTACCCGAGTAATCACTTTTAGGTAGTGCAGTAATAACATTCATTAATTCTGACCAAAAATTAACTGTCGTGCAACTGCTGCTTCACGAAGACGAATTAGTGACCCAGGTCCCATAGTAAACAAAACTTGTACTTAGGAAATCCCCATGCTGACCTTTTAATTTGTATGAAAATTATTTTCAGAGCAGCATATGCAGTATTGTGTTATCTTGCTATAACAAATGTAAACAAGGTTACGGTTTGCGATATTTTTATTAGTACAAGTTCATGTTTGTGCTTTGCTTGTAAGCAAGGAGGAAGAATGAATAATGTTTCTGTCAAAAAAACCCCCATATTTCAGGTATTTTAATTGTCCTTTCATCATTGGCATGGTCTCTAAACTGAGAAACTTGTAAGTCTAGGTGACTTGTATGTCTTGGTAGTTCAAGTATATGACAGACTTTTTTCAGCTGAAAGGAACTGAAATTTAGTGGTGATACTGATCTGCTTGTGTTTTGTTTTGAGTACTCTGATGGTAGTACAGATCAAGTATCTACGGTATGTGTAGAATTATAGAGGAAAAGGAGAGTGTGTCCTATCTCCATGTGATTACAGGCGGCATGAGAAGATCTACATTTCGATCTAGGAATTTTGGAAACTCCCTCTGAGTTTGAGGGCATACGTTATTATCATAATATGGTATGTCCCCATGTAAGTATAATATGGGAACCTGTCAGAGAGGAACCAGAAAATGCAGTTAAAAACAAGTCTGGGTATTTGTTTATGACAGACAGTTGAAGAGTTTATGTTACTGGAATTCAAAGGCCCCTAATTTTGCCTAGTCCATGAGGTTAAAATTAGTAAGATACAGCTTTCTGTGAGTGTTATTCTGTTTAAGGCTGGGTCAGCTTTAGCAGTTTTGTATGAGCCTGCTGAACAGTATTTATGCTTCATTTCAAAACAAGCAGCTTGCAGTGTGCCCTGTGACTCTGTCTGAAGCTGGTGAATATTTTGGAACCTTACTGAGATGGTAACCAATGCCCCAAATGTTGT